CCCTGTGTTTCCAGTTCCTATCTGTACCAGTGTACATCCTCTGGTCTAGCCGGATTTGTAAGGTAGAAGTGGGATCATGATAGTGGGGGTGGTGGGTGGTAAAGCATTTAAGAACTAGAGGAAGGTTGTATGTTTCATCGTTGCTACCCTGCACCCTGACTGACTCGTCTCCTCCCCACGCCCCTTCTGTAAGGCGATGTCCATTGCCTACAGATGGGCTTTGGATTCCCATTCTGTAGTCCGCCTTTGGCTAAGAAAGACCAATCCAAGTTCTCAAGTGAATGAATGAGTAGCAGTCTGTGTTTAAGCTAAGAACTATATTTTTGCTTTTTTCAGATGAGAACTCTCCGGCCAACTTCTGGGATTCCAAAAACAGGGGCGTGACTGGAACGCAAAAAGGGCAGATTGTTTGGAGAATTGAGCCCGGGCCCTATTTTATGGAGCGTAAGTAAAGGCTGGGGACACCCACAGATTATTTCTGAATGTCCTTGTGTAATGCGGATGCTGGTGGCCCTGGTGGCCCAGTTGTGAAGTGCTCAACTGCTCACTAAAGAGTCAGCCATTTGAACCCACCAGCTGCTCTGGGAGAAAGATGTGATGCACTGCCCCCTTCAAGGTAACAGCCGGAAGCCCCCCGGGTGCCCACTCCTGTAGGGTGCCATGAGTTGGAATCCATCGATGGCAATAGGTTTGTGTAGTTCAAACTGTGGACATACTTCCAAAAACTTATGGAAAGGTTCTTTTATTTTTTCATTCCATTCCCCCTTCAACTTTGAGTCTCCATCATAGATTACCTTAGAAAGTTCTCATTACAGAATATGTTCACATATTTTGAAATGAGTGAATGGGTGTGCATCCATATGTATGGGCACATGCATCCATAAATATGTACATCCTATGCCAAACTCAAGCCAGAGTCATCGATGTTGAGTCGGTTCTGAGTAGACCTGGGGAGGTGGACCGCCACACGTGTCTTCCACGGTGGGCTGGCTGGTTCTCACCACTGTCCTTTTGGCTCGTGGTGGAATGCTTTAACCGCTGCACCACCCAGACCCCTAGACCATACTACATGTATGAAGATGTATATTTTTCACATAGCTCCATGTATAGCCAGACTTGGTGCATGTACAGTGTGTAAGTTAGTTATATGGGCTGATCTTGAGGTGCTTTCACAGTAAAGTGGTTAAGTGCTTGTTTGGTAACCAGAAGGTTAGTAGTTTGAACCCACTAGCCACAGACATGGTAGTTTGTTTCTGTAATGATTCATGATCTTGGAAACCTTGTGGGGCAGTTCTACTGTGTCCTACAAGGTTGCTATGAGTGGGAATTGACTTGACAGCCGCGGACGTGGGTTTTTGTGGCACAGTGTTCATGAGCTACTGACTGCTCGCTTAAGGGCTGGCAGTTCTAATTAACCCAGAGACCTGCTGATCAACTACAGAGATTACAGTTGAGGACAGACTCCCTCTGGGTCAGGATTGTTATGAGTCAGAATCCACTTGATAGCATACAACCCCAACTTCGTTATTTTAGGTATCACACATTTTGATATTCTCGTATACATATCCCTAATTATTGTGAAATCATATCAATTGCAGGAAGCAAAAAGAATAATTCCGACTGACAATGTAAGAATTTTTTTTTACTTTAGAGCATTTTGACATTATTTTTCTTAGCAGCAGATTAACTAGCAGCCACTGGGGCTTGATTTTAACCAAGGGTGATGGGCCTGTTGTCACTGAGCTCAGAGATTAGCTATGGATGACCCCGCCATTAACCAGTTGATCTGCTGTTGCATTTATTTCTAAATATGAATATTTATAGTACACGGTAAACATCTCGTCCTTTTTCATTTTGAGAGGAGTGGGGACTTTACATTTGACACAGCAGTCTTGTCAAATGAGAACAGAGAAGATAACACAGTAAACCCTCGGAGTTTACGTGGGATCGGTGGAAGAACAAGGGGACAAACGGCCCAATTCCAGACATTCTTTCCCTTTAATGCAGAAGAAGTGGCTTCTGGGGGACTTTCCCGAGCTGTTGCGTTCTTTGAGCAGATGAATATTTCCTCATGCAAGGGATGTAACCAAGAGGGAAATGTACGAATAGTAGTATTGAGAAATGGAAATTTGTTGCAAGCATGTATTCACTAAAACATATAAAACATCAGTAATACAAAAAGTTATTAAAGAAAGATGGAAACTGTTTACTTTTAACTACTACAAGACTTCAGACAGTTTATTACATTATTGTAAATAACAAGTGAGAACTTTTCCTAATCTTGCTTCTACCCTCTGAGGAATGTCCACTTTTCATAGTCCACCTTTTTTAGCAGTTTTATTGCTACATAATTCCGCTATCATACTGTAGTTCAGTCATCGTAAGAAGAGTTGTGCAGTCATCCCCTCAGTCAGCTTTAGAACGTTTTCTTCATTCTTGTACTTGTCAATAGCTCTGAATTTCCTCCCAACCTCCCCTGCTATATACCACAAAGGAATCATTAATCCAGTTACTGCCTCTATAGATTTACTTATCCTGGATTTCGTAGGCAGAAAAGCACTAAAAAACAAAAAGCTAACTAACAACAAAGTTAAATAGATAAAAAACCTCCATTGAAAAGAATGCAGAAAATATCAAAAACTAAGACAAATGTAAAATGAATCCAAAGAGAGATCAAATGATAAGGTGCTAAATGTTAACCTAACTGCATTTGCAACAATCCACTTTCCAATGTATTCTGCATGACAGCAAGGCTGTTCACATCCCTGGTTTATAGGCAGAGGGGATTCCCCAGAGGCTTATTCTACGGGGCTTGATTTTCTCTCTTAACCCAAAGTAGATGCAGTTTTTAGAAGCAAATGCTCATGATGTAACAGAACGTGGAGAAATGGAAGCAGATACATAGAGCTGAACCCCACCTCCCAGCGTCGAGTCTAAAAATAAGTGAGAGGAAGTCTGCCAAAAGAGGAGCACAGGTTGTATCTGGGACGCGAGATGATGGACAGTTTGGTTTCTTGCATGTTGCGCTTTGCTCTCTGACTTTTGCCCAGGGGCATTACTACACAGGTAGTGATGGCAGTACGTGGGGGAGACAAATGTGAGGTCAGTGGAATGGGAACTAGCTGGGTTTTACGTTCAGTACGATTCCTCCTCTGAAAGCATCCCGGGGCTTAAGGGAAACCCAGCTGGGAAACGTGGCCACTGCCTGCGTGTTCACTCCGTGATGCTGAAAGATGCTGGAGGTGCTTGCCATTTGATGGATAGGCTGGGTTTCAATTACTGGGCTCGTTTGAAAGCCCCGGAAGAAGGTAGCACCCCATGCTGTTATACTTTGTATCCTCACATGAAAAAGATCCAAGTATGGAGCAAAGATCCCAGTTGATTTCCCTTCTCGCCACAGGGACCTGTAGGGTCCTGGCTGCTTAGACTGGAGCCAGTGTCCCCTTCTCAACAAATGCATTTCGCTACATCGCACCCCAGCACCTGCCTTCTATTTTTCTTTCCTCTTCTAATTTAACATTTACACTTTAGGTCTTCAGACATAAAATTGGAGACACTATGTAATGTACATATGGATAAATGTAAAACTGGAACTATTTATTATACATAAAGCACTTTCTATGTAAATATATATTTATTCTTTATATAGATAAGGCGATTTACTTATGTAAAGAACTCCAGGACAATGAACAGGAACTTCAGAAAGATTCACCGTTAGAGTGTGGTGATCTTCAGTAAGTCAGTCAGAATGAGGTTTCCCTCAACACATACCTCTAGCCTCTCTCGCCTGGCATTATAAAAATGTCTCCAACCCTTCGAAGTCAACTCCATGTCTTTGAGGCATAGGTTGTTTGTTTGTTGTTGTTGTTGTTGTGTTTCTTTTTCATCCCATGGGTGGCTAGAGCAGACCCAAGAGAACTTCACAGAGCTCTGAACTTAATAAAAAGGGGCTCGGGTGGGGCAGTTAGGCAACGTATGATATTTTTAAACTCCTGCTTTCATCTTCAGAAAAAAAAGTTTATTCTTAGCTCATTGGAAGTCCATTCAAAGTAAAACTTGGGGGGAAATTCATGCATGTTTATACTGAAGGAAAAGTAATCCTCTCTTGAGATTTGGGGATTTATGCGGCCTTTTGTTCCTTTGTGTGGCCCTGCAGATAGTGAAAGAGATGGAAGGCCCTTGTTTGCAGAAGTGATTGTTATTGTGTGGTGTGGTGCAATTTCTGTCACCCTCAACTCCCAACTTCTTGGAGCAAACCTGTTTTTTTCTGAGGCTCTGTGTCTGGGTCGCTCTATACTTCCTCTGACAGAGCGACACTACTTTGTCGGCTGGTTCTTGTGGCTGAGCCAGGACCAGAAACGTCGATAGTCGACGTTCCGTGGTGATTATGGTGTTTGCCTGGCTTGTTGCAGCCTCTGCAGATTTTCTCGTCGACAGCCAGCCTCCAACCTGCGAAGACCTTGCTGAGTATCGGATCTTCTTGTTCTATTTTTCATCGGTTGGATGATCCTCACCTTTACTCCTCAGTAAATCTAGAAATGGAAGTTAGAGACCAATGAACTGAAGCTTCCCTGGAGGGATACAGTTCACTGTGGGACTTTTCCTCTGGCCCTCCTTTGTCTGAAGTTGGAGCTCTTGGTACCTGGCTAGGTGAGGAGATGAAAAGGGGCTGCCATCGTCACTTATGTGAAGAAATGATGCTTAAAAGGCTGTTCTTTCCTTAATAACAACTTAATGTTTCTTAAATGTTATTTTCCTCTTAAATGATATTTCTTTAGAATACACGTGCAAAGTACAGACATGATATAATGCCTCTTTGATGGAATAACCGGCCCATTTGAGTGACATCCAATAACTTGAGAGGGACATAGATCCATCCTGCATGTTCAATAGAGTTAGGATTGTATTTCCAGTTCTGATACTAATGATTCAGGTCCAACTCTTAATCATCTTGCCTTATGGCTATTTAAATATGCCTCTCTTCATAAATAAGAATGTAGTCTGTAACCATTTCCATCTATTTCAGTCACTTAAAAGTAAAAAGGGCAACGGCAGAGATTGGTAGGACATTTCATAGATATTGGGATAGGAAAGAGCATGTATTAACCTAGATTCAGGATTTAACGAAACAAATTTCAGTAGTTGCTGCTTTAAGATAAGAATCAACCTGTTCATCTCTTTCTATAGTCACTTGTCTGCCATGCTTAGCACCTAGGTGGCCCTCTGGTTTCTTTCTTGTTTCTGAGCTCGGAACATGCAAGCTGAGACACATAAAATCAACATGTCACGTTCCTTTGACTTAGATTCTCAGCTGACTAATGCTTGCATTTATACAAGTACAAGACCACATGCATTCAGATTGGGTAGGTCTCTAATGTCTATTATAATAAGGTGACCAGATTTTAACATTGGTAAAGTGGGACAAAAGCGGGACACCATTGATA